GCTAAAATAGAAGGAATTTTCCTTGATACATACTCAGTCATATCGTAACATGTAGATATATGATACAATATGGTTAGGAATTTAATGTTGGCCTTTAGAATTAGTGTTAAAGAATTTGCTCATCACTGGGAAAAAAGGGTGCATAGCTCATGTCAAACCTGATGTTCTTCAAAAGCACAACAGCAATTTTGAGTCTTTAAAATTTAGGGAAGTGTATAGTAATGCCACTTACACTCACCATTAAATTTTGGTTGTCTGGGTCATTTCCACTGTTTTTTACAGTATGCTGTACTACAAATAGCAAACCTGTAGATTATGGAGAGCTTTGATGTGATGCTGTTAACTGGGAAGAGTGATCAGCATTGCATATGAGTGATGAATTTGTAGTTGAGGATAGACAAAAATAAGGTTATAGGTATTGAGAGTGCAAGTGGTATCTGTAGATGCTGCATGCCTTGGTGAGGGTGTTTGGTTCTTTTCGCTGTTCTGAGATCTCAGGTAATCATTTTCTTAGAATGCCAGATCAAAATGATCACATCTTTATCCTCAAAACTCAAGTGATTGTATGAGGATGTGAGTTTGGAAAGGCTTTGAATTTTTTGGCTGTTTAAGTAGCTTCACAGGGAAGGATTTTTAGTTTCTTACAGTACAAAACAAGTCACATCTTGCACTTCTTCTGTGTTGTTTTCATTTTTCCCATTTCCTGCACAGAGTTTCTTTATAATTCATTCGTTTTCATTCTGCATGCCAATGAATAATTTCAGATTACATCTTAATAAGGCACGAGTCATGACATGGAGTATTGAGTTGTGATGTTTTGAATAATTTATTGATCTCATTTTTGAATGAAAAATGACTAATGAAGAGGATGGGCCAGCTGGTTGCAGTAGGAAGGGTGAGAAGCAGCCTCTGGGGATGAAATGCTTCCACATCAGGCTCTGCAAAGAATCTCTGTGCTTACCATATAACCTAAACATCAAACACAGTCATTTTTCAGTGCCCCCAAGATCTTGATTCTTTAGAAGTAGATGTTAAATCTAGCATATCTCTTTATTTTGAGCTAACTCAGCAGAATGAAGTTCAGTTTTCTTCAGTGTTTGAGAATGTATCAAATTTCTTAGTAAGAGCCACACCTTCCATTTATTCACTTATGTTTTAGGAGTAAGTCTCATGCTTTGGTCTTCCGAAAGCCTGTAGCAATGCAGCAAAGAGAAGACTTTAATTCCCTTGTGATTTACCTAGTTTCTTGAGCAGGGTGTGCAGTCTGTCATCCTCATTGAGGACCTAATGAGATCTGATCCCTGCCTGTCAGCCTTTTAACAGCAGGTGCAAGCTCCCAAACAAGAGTAGGGCATGGTGTATTAGCAGAATGACTCACTCTGGTGTCCTGTGCATCTTACAAATATTGCTCCATCCTGTGAACGGTGCTGTGCATCTGATTCTAAAAGCTATCTGAAGGACATGGTTTATGTGATTTATCGAGGTAGCTTTTATCAGTGTTTAAATCTTCATACAAAAGCAGGGAAGGAGGAAGTTTATATCTGTTTTTATATTGTAAAGAAACCTTGAAATGCATGCCAGAGTTGATGTATGACAGAACAGTATTTTAATTACACACCTAGAGTGGTAAATGTATTTAAGCATTTTTTTTTCCACTCTGAAACACCTGGCTTGCAATTTAACATTGTTGTTTCCCCAGATTTTACTTTTTTTATCACCTGTGGTTACCTATAGACAACAAATATTGAATAGTAGCTTTATAAAATAGAGTGATTTATTGATACAGTAAATACTGTATCTCTTTACTATTGGCACAGGGAATCCTGACCTTATTTAGTTTGCAGTGGAATCTTGATGACCTTACTACAACCATGGTCTGTAACAGTATAGTTGTAACTCCTTTCTTTGTATACATGCAGTCCTCCATGACTTAGAGTGACTCATAAAAGTCTGAGAATATGCTGCAACACAATTAGACATTTTGCATGGGATATCCATTACTAGATAAAAGCTAGGGATCAGCAGCTTTGGGAAGGTAATGAAACTCCACTGAGTACTGGCTAAGGTCACATATGTGTGCTTTTCCAGACATGGAGAGCTACATGTAAAGGTTGTGTGTGTAGTATGTCTGTTTGTCTGGAGGGCACATGATACTATCACTGTCAGTAAAACTTCTGTAGCTGCAGACTGAGAGGCTGCTCCCTCTTGGTTTCCAGATATGTTGGGATACATCTCAGCAGTATTTGATCTTGAACTTGGTCCTACTTCTAAGTGGCAGTGAGATGATTAGACTCTTCAAGACTTTTTTGTTGAGGATTGGGTGATCAGTTTAACTCAGGAAAACTCAGCAACTTTGGGCTCTTGGTTTTTGAAGAATTAGTGGAGGTGGATCACCATTTGTTGAAGCCAAGCTGTTAAATTTCATCAGTTCTCTGTTGAAGGCATAATGCTTGAATGATAACATAAACTATGTTAGGGAGCTGTTGTCCCATATAATGAGTAGGAAAAATTGCTTTATGTGATGAAAGCTGTGTACCGAAGATAATACTCAATTGCTGTCTGGTTTTGTGCTATAGGAGAACTTTATCTCAAGTTATAAAGGTGATACACACCTTTATTGCCCAGAGAGTTAAGTTTCTCCTGCCAGATTATGTCCTTTCAAAAAGGTGAAAAAATCCAAAACACAATGCTCAGGCATTCATTCAGAAGCCAAATGAAAAACATACTTTGTTGTGGAAAGCACAAACCTGTTTTCCAGTCGGCCAACTAACTCTTTGTCAGCCTTCACTGAATCTTGTTATTTTGATGCAAAGTAGAATTGGTTGTTGAACCATTAAGAATATTTTAAAAAATAACAACCTGTGAAAAACCGGAAGAGCTGTTGGAGTGACATCTGCATTACATCATTTTTCATTTAACTTCTTTGCTAACATTGCAACAACAGTCTTCTTTTCTCATACAGAGTTCACTGCAAAGTGAATCTGCAGATATTTTTAGCACAACTTGTTCTGTCTTTCTCCAAAGCAAAAGTATTTTTTGTTGACAATGTCAGATTATTCTTTTTTTGAGGGGAAAAATGGGTAATGAAAATTAAACTAAATTTAAAATTAATTTTTTACAGGAGTTCAGAGCTGGTCATCTTAGGGATTTTTCAGTAGGTTAACAACAATTTTAAGAAATACAAAAATTAATTTCACTTCTGTCATTAAAGTCTGCAAATGTGGCAGTACATAGAAGCAAATAACTTGAGTATATATTGGAGTATGTATTTTATTATGGTCAGCTTTCACACTAAAACTATCAGTGTTGCAGATTGGTTTCTTGTAGTTAGTCATTGGAAAGACAATTACTGCAAAAGAGTCATGTTTGATGCAGGTCAGATGTGGACATGTTATCTCAAGTTATAAGATCACTGAGCACTCATCAGTGATAACTCCATTATAATTTGTAAAACCAGTACTTTTGAACTTGTGGTTATTTCTTTAGAGAATGGATATTGAGTTCTTTAAAAAAAAGCTATTTTGCTTCTTTAATTACTGGAGTACATGACTGAATGTTAAGAAGTAGCTTACTTGCAGTTGTGAGGTCTGAATTCATATTTGAATTATGTCCGAGCTCGATATTACTGGGTAATTTTAATTTACCAAAGAACATCACATTCATCTTCACTAAGGAAAGTTGCCAAACAAAAAACACAGAATTTTTTTAAAATCTCATGAGAATTGTTTGCTGTGTTTGGAGGAAGACAAGAGTTAATGTCTTCCTGAGAATGCTGCCTGAAATTTAGTGTGGTCTTTGCAGGATTGCACATGACCAGGTTTTATAGTAATGTATTGGTGATCAAGGACTCTTCACATCACATTTGGAGTATTAATTATGTCCTTGTTTCTAATGGAGTGTTCCTTAATGGCAAGGGCCGTTTCTCTCCATACTGCTGACTTGTCCTGTGGCTTTGAACATAGTTATTTATTCTTTGCTTGGGTTTACTCATGTGCAGAATTAGGTTTTACATACTTCTTAGTGTTGTTGCAATGCTTAATTAATATTTATAAAGGCCTTTGACATCCTGTGATGAAAGGAACTCTGCAAGTGTTCAGTAGTGGTATTATTTTATTAGTGAAAATGCAGGAGGAGTCAGAAGGATACCAGTTTCAATTCAGAGTGAGCAATGGAGTCATTCTGTAACCTTGAGCAGGTCATGCAGTCTCTTGTTTTGTAACATAGCCTGGGAAAGCTCTGTTTTGCAGCATGTGTTATTAGATGCCATCCTTCCCTCCCCCAAGTCCTTTCTAAGGAAAAAAAAAGGTAAAAAGTAAACAAATATACACAACTTTACTGAGCTGCTAAACATAGCAGATAGTTCTTAAGGAAGTAGATCATTAACGGGGGCAGAGGGTGAGAAGGGGAGTGGATGTAACAGTTGCATTTCAGAGTCAACATGAGAACTTGAGCTTGTGTTACCTGGTCACAGACCAGACTGGATTTTGCGTGTTACAGATCTCTCTCATTTGGGTTCAGTATGCACCGTGCTTAACTGAAATTTCACTGTGAGGGACTGCATTTAATCTTTATTGCATTCTGAGAGCTCACTAATCTGTGGTACTCAGCTGGTAAACAAGTTCATTCTTCAGACTGAATATTGTCTATATTTGAGCTTTGTGATTGTCAAGATTGATAGTCAGCTCTTATAGCATCTTGTATTTGACTGTTGCATAATAATATAAATCTCAGTCACTTGTGAGATTTTTTTTCCTCAACTGACAGAGGAAGGTTATGATTACATACTGTCATTAAAATTACAAGATAGTGAGGAACTTTTGAAAAGTTATACATCTGTTTTAAGACTGAGCCAGCTAGACATTTACCTAATTATATAAGGCACAATAACATTAAATAGTTATTTGCCATGCTTCACAGATGCAAATGCAGGGTTTAAGTTTTTATTTCCTACATGGTGCTATATCTGCATTTTACTCGTTGGACAAAACACATAGGTGTGGTTTAGAACAGGGGGCATCAAAACTTTTATTTGAAGTACTTCAGCAAGGTGAACAGCTTGCCCAGTGAAGTGTGAGGCATAGCTGAATGTAAGTGCCAGTTTGTGCTTGGCCAGTAGGATGGATTCAGATTGAAAGCACCTGGATCTCTGTCCTGCTTTATTGCAGTCTGGCTGGACAGCTTGTTCCTGGGGGCTTTTTACTTCTCTTTAGTCCTGCTTCAGCTCTCAGCTTAGCTGGCCTAAGGATGAAGAGGAACAGTGTTTGTCCCTGTGAGAATAAAAAATGGTTTGTAGTCTTCAAGAGCAGCAGTTATTAAAACCCCTGTGCTTTATATAACCCTAGTGATGAGCCTTAATTTATGGAGCATGCCTGGTAGTAATGGAATATCAAGAATTTACCTGCCTGGCTTCAGCTGAATATGCTGAATATATATTTAGGTAGATTTGTTTCAAGATACAGTAATTTGATGAGATTTATGCAGCATTTTTCAGACCTGCAAAATATGTTACTTCCTTTTGCCTTTAACTTAGACTTCCTGATATGGCTCATGACAGTCCTGAAAGTTTGTAACTGACTATTTGCAGCAAGTAACTGAATGAATTTTCTTACCTGTTAAAAATAAATATTGCCTCAGGTTAATGGAGTGGAAAATACAAACCTTAATACCTTTGCCAAGAAAATCTGAGCAAGCTGTACAGAGTTGTTTGAACTTCTAATACATTTAAAAACAACCTCAACTTGCTGGTTCTTCCACCTTGACCTACAACCAATGAATAATAACTTAGTGTGGAATGCCTTGTTCTTAACTTCACACTGATAAAATTAAATACATTCTGCCTTTAGTATTTTGATTTAGTATAATTAAAATAATGACTTACAGTTTGATAAATGTTATTTTCATTACTACAGTACCCTGAGGCACTGCATGTGGAAAATTTTATAATATTACACAGATCTGGAGGTATGTAATGTGCTTGTCAGACTATTAACTTGCATAAAGTGTTTTGGTTTTTATAGCATATAAATTTAGAGTGTTTCTTTGGAAACTGAATAAAAGTAAACAATCAGATCCCTTCCAAAATGAAATGTAAATTATACCACTATGCAGCTGCGAGGGTATCCTTATAATATCCCCATGCAGGTAGAATTCAAGCATTTCCCCATTCAGTAGAAGCTGCCTGTAAGCAGTATGACTGTGTCTGGGCTTGGTTTGTGAGGGATTTTTTTCTCCAGTAATTTAACAGTCACTCAACAGAAACTGCTTTACTGATATTTATATTGTAATTTTTTTCTTGATCTGAAGTGCCCTATCATGAACATTAAGAAAGCCTCCTGTATTTTCAAGTGTGTTAAAATGTGCAGCAAGTAACACTGTAATAATGTTGTCTGATGTTTTCTTTGTTTTCACCTTCCCCTGTAGTTCTGTCCTGTATCTGTAGATAGTCTGGATCTTTACTGGGATGGCTTTTAGGTCCTGGGATTTTTTTGACTGAGAAACACAAATATATATAAATGTCAAAGTTTAAAATAAATATAACTACTTGTTAAAGATTCTGTATAATCCAGTTTTTTACTGTCTGTGCAGCTTCTGCTGGTGCCACAAATGATGCTCTGGTGGAAAGTGTTTCATTTGATTAAACTGTATTATACTTATTCAGTATTTCTTTCTGAAATGTCGCATTCTGACCTTAAGTGTCATAATTGTTGTGTGCACTGTGGCGTAGTTACCTTACCATGGGAAATAGATACATTTCCTGTGACTTTTTTAGTGTTGAAAAATAATTATTTTCTTGGCATTTAAGATAGAAGTTTGTAATCTAAGAAAGTACAGAGTTCTTTTGTTAAAATCAAATTTATGCTGTAGTGAGAAGTTAGCATTTCCTTTTTCACTGCAGTTGTATTAATAGTAAGTATTCTTTTAATAGCACTTCTCATACATACCTGCAAGAATGCACTATTGAGGTTGCAGTAATACTTGTGTCCCAGTCTGTATCCTGTTCAAAGCCCCAGTAAGACATTGGCAAAGCTGCCAGTAGAGGTTTGATATTCACTTATGGAATTGATCTGGGCTGCTGAATGCAGTGGTGTCCTGGTACAGACCTGGAGTGGGGGGTAGCTCATTTAGCAACCTGCTGCAGTCCTTCTGCAGGGAAGGTGTCAGTAATTAGTTTCCTGCTCACTGGACCACTAAGTACAGAACTATGGTTTTGTTCTACTGTAATACATTTTTTGAGGAAGTATTCCTGCTGCATTTCCAGCCGGTGACACAGAGCTGGTTATGGTCAGCAGTGCAAGATGCACTGGCAGCCGGGCAGTCTGGTGCTGGTCATGTTCAACATCTGTATTAGTGACATGCTCTGTTGGGATGGAACAAACCCTCAGCACCTTGGCAGGTGATATCAAAGGAGGCTGAGTGGTTGACTTCTCTGGAGATTAAGGTTGCCATCCAGGGGGAATACAGTAGGCTGGAGAAAAGGGCCAGACAAACCTCTTGAAATTTAACAATTGTAAATGTTAAAATTGTAAAAGTACTACACCTGTGTCAGAAGAACCCTCTGCTGGATATCCACTGACTAGAAGTAGCTCTGCAGAAACAGCACCTGAAGGTCCTGAGGAAGTAAAAGTAGAATATGAGTCAGCAGGGTGTCCTTGCCGTTAGAAGCCAGCCATGTACTGTGCTGTGTTGGCAAGGATATAGCCAGTGGATCAGGAGAAGGGATTCAACACTTTCAAGTCCATCGTTAACATAGTATATCCAGTTCTGGCTCTCATAGAGGGAAGACGCTGATCTTGAGGATTGCCAGCTTCTCTTTTCTCTCTGAAATAACTGACTTGTGTCCCTGTAGCAGGCACAGGTTCTTTCTTATTTTATTTTGGTAGTTGTTAACCTTTTACTGGCCCATGGTGTGTCTTGTGGCTGTCAGAATGACGCAGGTATTTTTTGTGGCAAGCACTTGCAGATAATGCAGCTTTTTGCATGTGTGAGTAGTTTTTAGAGGGAAGAAAGGCTTTTTGATAATCACATAAAACCTTAAAGTCCTGAATAGAACTGTGTCTTTGCAGAGGGATGTCTTGATAGGATACATTACAGGAGATCTTAATTCCAGGCAAATTTCTGACCTCATGTTTTGCCACTCTTGGACTAATTTTACCACATTTCACAGTTGTATAAACACACTTTCCATGTGTCTTTGGTGTGCATGATTGTGCATGCTATGAAATAATAATTACAGATCTGCAAGAGCTCCAAAGTGTTTGAAGCCTGAAGTAGGGAGGAAAACTTGCTCAGTTCTTACATTTTAGAATTTTGGCTATAGCTCTCCATTTTCTTGAAGCTTTCCTTTTCATAAATCGGCTAAAATGTAGGAACTTTAGATTGTATCTAGAAGCTAGTTTTTTTAATATATCAATAGATAGCAATTGTACAGCTGGGAAGAGTAATTCTGCTTAAAGAAATGCAAGCAAGAAATACAGAATTTTTTAAAAATTATTTTTATTTTTTAACATATTTCAAGGTTTTTTTATGAACAGGTGACTCTTAAAAACTGAAATTGCCCCCTTCAGTTGCCGAAGAGCTGAGAAAAAAAATCTCAGTTTCTGTGAGCATTTGTTGGTTTACTGTAGGCTTATATCATCCAGCTCTTTAAAGTAAAGAGCCCTTTATGCTCAGTTGTTGTGTCTCTATAAATCATTCTGCATAGGTGTATAGAATATATATAGAATACACCACAAAGATCTAGATAGATAATGGTGCATATAGATACACCACAAAATTCTATCTATAGAACACACCGCAAAGAATTAACTTGACTCCGTTAACAAGTGTAACAGCAGTCGGTAGGGAGCATTCCTTCAGGAAAGTGCTCTCAGCTCGGTCGTTGGCTGCTGCTGTGAAGTGGGTGATTATCTCCAGCAGCCCCCTTGCCGATGCTGCGCGGCGATAAAGGCGATCAAGGCGTATCGCTCGGGCCACATGCGCTATTTAAAGTACGCAGCTTTCTTGCTCTGACGCTGGCTTGGTTTTCGGCCAAAGACAGGAAAAAGCAGCTTACTCTTGAAGAGGAATAATCTTTTGAAAATGCTGCTTTAGAGCAATTCTAAAAAGCCCTTTCTAAAGTCTTTTTATTTAATACATGGTGAGTATGTGTTGTGTTTGTATGAAATCCACAGCTTTCCCTGGGAGAGAGAAGGACAGGGTTTTATCTTACATGTGGTGTATATACTGTTTACACATGTTGCAAATATGAAAGTTGTAATTTTATACTCTGAAGGGCTGAGTTCTGCTGTTGTGATTTCACTTACATTCAGAAAGTGTGGACATTAATCCTTTTACTAGATGGCCAATTTTGAACTGCAGTTTATCCCTTGCATTAGTATTGCAGTTCTTCAGTGATGCTGTGAATTTCCTTGAAGTGTGTCTCACTTCAAGGAAACAAAATTTTTTCCCCCCTATCTCTGAATTTTTTATACTCTAGGTCTTTAGGAATGCTCTTCTGAAGGTTCAATTGTTTTTTTCTTATAAACATCCGAAATCACATGGCCTAAAGTAATTTCATATTCCAGTTCAGCCTAAAGACTGAATTTTGAAATGGCTATCTCCCATGTAAGCATATTTTGTATGGCAGTCTAATCTATGCATGCAAGCCTAATAAGAAAGAAGGCTGTGATGTTGAGTATTTTAACTTTTTAAAAATAAAATGTATTAATCCCATTTTGACTCTTTTGATCAGCAAGATCATAACTCTTTATTTACATGGCTTAGTCTAGTGGAAGTAATTCTACCTTTTAGGAATGTAGGGTCTGTAAGCCCTGGGATTTATTCCATGCTGTGTTACATCTTGCTTCTGTTTGATGTTCTCTTGAAATGCACTGGAGCACACTTGCATGTTTGTACATGCCACGCTCTTCTCATGCTGCTGAAATAATGGAGGATGCCTGTTAAATGGGATATGTTAAATGAAACTGAAGTAAAATTGTAAGGATTTCTATGCTCTAGTTGTGGTGCATTTAATTTTGCTTCATTTTTAGTCTCTGACATCCAGCTTCCTGATGTGATTTAAAAGCTTTCATCCATCTTGAGCATTTCACGCTGTAGACTGCCAGTGTTCATTGCTGCAGCAAAAAGGGCTTGCACCTCAAAGACCTCACTTGGGAGTTGGTAGTGTGCCTTTTCTTCATTGCTTATGACCCTTAGTTCTAATCGTCTTATGATTTTTAATGCATCACTGTGAGTTGAATTTGCTTCCCATACACTCAGCTAAGTTCCAGAGAAAGTCCAAACAAGTGAAGGTCAAAGACAGAGCTTGATGAAGAGAAATAAAATGAAAGAAAATGAAAACCACTTGCTAATGGCAGCAGCAAGGTGTTTGTGAAATAGCACTGCTGAAGACATTTTACTTTGCTGTAGGAGATTTTGTCCCTGTATCGGTTGAGGGGAGTGTGTGTCATGGAAGTTGCACCTGGACTTGAGCTTGTTAAAAGATGTTTTTCAACACATCTGAGACACCAGTCTGTGATGCCTAATTCTGCTGGTATTCAGGCTGTGTAACAATATGGAGAAGACTTCCAGCAATGTTGAGAAGTTAGGTGCTTGTAGTTGGAGTTCACTTGTAATCCTTTTGCTTCAGTTCTTGACCAATATTGAATACCTTACTGTTGGGTAAATTTCTGGTTTAATCAATTTTTGAGTTCCTTCCGTCTGTTTCCAAAAGACTTGAAATATTTGTGGTGTGATATTTTGAATCACTAGAGGCTTGTCTGTTAGAAAGAGTTATTAATAGCTCAGGTTTTGCTTTTAAGTGACAGTGGTCAGTGCATGCAAATAATTCTCTGCATATGGTGAAGGCCTTTAGCTCTGGCTAGTTGTGGCTGCTTGCTTTAGGGAAGATTTAGCAGTTGTTCAGGTAGTGTGGTAGTTATATAGATATAAAATGGTTCTGGTCCTGCAAGTGTGGTTTCAGAATCCCAGTGTTCTGCAAGAAGATGCGCAAGTTGGCTCACAGTTTGGAAGCAGGTTTGTAAATTGCCCTGTGCTTATCACAACACAGAGAACAGGGTGCACCTGTAGAAGTTTACTGCCACTCCTGTGTCATAGTGTAGCTAACTCAAGTTGACTGTACTGCAACGAGGTAAAGTTGAGGTCAGGAGGAGAGAAGAGGACTCACAGTACTGGTAGTGCACATCTTCACCTGTGAGGAACTTCCAGACTCTCACACCATTGTCCTGTGGTGTTGTGAAAGGAACTGGGAGTTGCATACACTAAAGTGCCATTCTAGGAATTTTCATTTCTTACATTTCACTTGCAATTTTTTGTGCAGTTTCAGTTTGAGGGTGACCTTACAGGATTATGGGGTTTGTGTAGACTAATCCTGTGTGACGCTTTATCTCTGCCTATCCAAGTGTGTTGGCAGCAGATAGTGTGCAATATGTTGCACGTCATCTCGTCTCACGGTTCAGTTCGTGACAGCAAGACCTTTGAAGGCCACTTCTGTCCTCTACCTGTGCCTTAAACCCATAATGTTGTCAGAACAACTCTATAAAATAGAATTTTCTGGAAAAATTAGTATTAGAACTTTACAGGAAATTAACAATTTCCAAAACAGGTAAATTGTTTTGAGGAAGAACACATTTCTTGAATGTCTAGTTTTGCTTTTTTTTTTTTTTCCCTGAAAGAGATGTTTTAATAACATGGACTTCATAACTGTGTTCTGTTATGTCTCTAGTTAACTAGTGTAAAAAAAAATTCTCTAAAATAATCTCTTTTCACTTAGAAGAGGTTGTTTTAAGAACATATATAAGGTGTAATGCATCATAGGTACTGGATTGGTTTGGATTTGGATTTTTTTACAATGAAGATAACATTTTGGATTACAATTTACAGTTTCTCATATGCCTTACTTTAAATACTTGGAATTAAAATTTGTAATATACTTCTTAAATGCTTTTCAATAATGTTGATTCTAAGATTTTTGTGAGAGATCTTAAACTGCAATTGGGTAATATTTTTAGATCAACTCATGCTTTCTTAAAAAAAAAAAAAAAAAACTAGATGAAAAAGCTGGCTGCTGATTGCTATTTAGCAGACTTCCTCTTCAGGGTTGTGGTGTGTCCGTGTTCCCATTACAGTGTGCTCATAACAAAACCCGGAACCACACCCCATTGTATTGCTCTAAATTCACTCTGCTTGGAGTTGATGGGTTTTCTCCCCCTGTTGATCTCCTCAGCGTGAGCAGCTGTTTACAGGAAAGCACATGATGGACCCCTGAGTTTTCAACAGGCCAGGAAGAGCTGTCTTTTGGCTAATGAGATGCTAATGGCCAGCATTATCTCTGGAATAAATCGAGGAGGTGATTGAAAGCTTTGTTGATGTTGAATTTCTCAGAACATGTAACACTGCAAGATAAACTTGTATTCAGCTTGCATCTTGCACTTGTGTTCAACAAGCATCTTGCATCCAGCTGAAGAGGAAAATCATTGATCATAAGACAAATGTTAGTGAAATGCATTGAAGAGTAGAACTGGGACGATGGCACTCGTGATACCCGGAATAACAACAAGATACTTCTAGTTCAGTGAACTTTCACCGTGGTTGTACATTGTTAGTGTGTCTGTAGCATCTGTTCTTGCTGTGGCATTTGGAAAGTGTAACTTTGTACCACTGACGTGTTTGTGAGGTTCCGTTCAGCGCTTTGTCACGAGCTCCATGGTCTGGTACCTGTGATGTAGCCCAAGTGTTCAGATAGGTCCCTTCCACCTTAGCAGAGCTTACATGAACTGAAGCCTAAATACAGCTTTGGTAAATGAAGTAAACCCAGTGTTAGTTGCTGCTGTATTGTGGTTGTTGAGGATGCACCCAATGGAATATGAAATCTCTACTAAAAGAGCAGAAGGGGAGGTTGTCATGCAAAACAAAAGGGCTTCTCTGCAGCCTTAGTCCACATAGATCAAAAAACAAGGCAGCAGCAGTAGCAATCTCCATGTCCTAAATTCATCACAAAGGCAGACCATAACTAGGTGATTACTTTCAGGCTATGGATCTTTTGTCCTGGAATC